TTTTTTTTTTGCAAAAAGACTCAACAAAATCACAGATCTGACACAATGATTGTACAAGTCCGATGTGTCTAAAACGAACAGTCAATTTCTGCTCAGAAAATCTTTCAACGGAGCAGAGCTAAATCTGGTGCCCCTCTTTAGCATGAAATGGCTTTATTCTTCTCCTCTACTTTCTTTAGCTCTCTTCATCTTCTCGCCTTTGCAAAAAATAATGTACAACCGAGGTTTGGCAGTTACTCTCAAAATTCATAAATGAGGAACTGACTATCAATTTAATTCACGTATGCAATAAATTTTGTATATGGTTAGCAATTGTGAATGAAACATCCTTACTGCAGCTTGAGTTTTTTAAAAGACAATTTTCTGTCTAACCCACCTTGTTATCGTGGATCTTAATGGTGCTTTGAGCTGGTCCTTCAATGCTGACAGATAGTTCTTTAGCAGCTGATCCTTTTGCGCACACTGTGAATGCAGACGGTTCTCCTACAGTTGTTGTTTGTAGGCCTGGTCCATATACGGTAGCATATCCGTCATGATAACCGTCCACGTAAAAACGTAATGGGCTTCCCTTAAAAGCACGGGGTAAAAAACTAATAGAAGAGAAAATATGTTGAAAAAAGGGCTCGTGATCCAATCAAAAAAAAGGTGAAATTAGAAAAAAAGACCCAAGAAGCGGATAAATTCGCAGACTGAGTACTTGCTGCAATTCTTAGCCAATAATACGCCTGCGCTATCTGGATGTGTTGTGTGGTGTGCAATTGCAACACGCACACGTAAATTACGACACATAAATTGCACACAAACCTGAATGTGAGCTCCGTCTGTGACAATTGACAATTCATGGGCTCCATGTTTTTTAGGGACGTACTTCACTTGGATGGTTCCTGCAATTTCACGGATAAAGACTGAATTATTACAAGAAAAACCTGCTCTAATTTCTATGTCCACGCAAACCTACGCGATAAAACAAAAAAGAGAAAAATAGTGCCCTAAGGCAATTAATTTGTTTCTCAATCATTCGAAAAAGTTCAAGTTTTGTAAGGCATACCAAAAAGTCCCAAACTAAAAAAACCATGACATGCTTCTTTTTCTTCGTTCTTATAGCAAATTTCTCCAACTACAAGTTTAAAATTTCTTATTCATAACTACGCAGAGCAGATTTCCGTTCAATCTGAAAAAGCGAAGACTACGTTCAAGTCCGCAGTTACACAACTGCATTATAGCTTTTGCAGCTGTCGGAGTTTACATCAGGTATGCACGTGTCACTCTTAATTTACAACTCAGAAAACCATTGCACGCGACCTTTAAACACGACATTAGACAAACACTCAAACTCTCTGATCCCTGATTCCTTAAAGTTTAGATTTAAAGTATTTTCCTAAATGTAAATTCGTTTTATATAGAGACATGACATAGAGCTATTTGTTTGTACCAAAAATGTTGCTAACAAATTCTTTTGTAGATCATAAATGAAGTCATGAATATTCAAGAATCCATAATCAATGGATTATATAGAGAGCAACTTGGGAAGGAGATTAAGATCAGCTGGCAAGAACACCTAATATCTACCCTGGCATAAG